GTTGAAATTGCATAAGACCGCAGGGGCAGATAGAATTCCCCCAGCCCTCTTCAAATTCGGGGGACCTGCTCTAGTAGATGATCTACACGAGTTGCTAGTAAAACTTTGGGAGCAGGAGACAGTCCCGACAGACTGGAACCGCTCCGTCATTGTCCTAATTTTCAAGGGAGGCTCCCGTTTGGAATGCGGCAATCATAGAGGGATCAGTCTGATTTCGATTGCCTCTAAATTGCTTGCCTCTGTCATTCTCCACAGACTGACTGGCACTCGTGAAAGCCAGATTCGTGAAGAGCAAGCCGGATTTCGTCGAGGTCGCGGATGCATCGACCACATCTTCACCTTGCGTCAAGTGTTGGAGCACCGCCATGTTTATTGGCGACCCACTGTTGTCGTGTTTCTTGACATAAAAGGTGCCTTCGACTCAGTCGATCGATGTGCCCTTTGGGATTGTCTGCTGAGGAAAGGTGTGCCTGATAAATATGTAAACATTATCAAAGCGCTGTACGCGCATAGTTCGGGCAGGGTGAGGGTTTATGGCAAACTCTCGCCACCCTTCAGTATCACCAGCGGTGTGAGACAAGGATGCCCGCTGTCACCTTTCCTCTTCAACTTCGTTATTGATGAAGTCATGGAAACAGCGTTCGCTGGACACGACCTAGAAGGTGTGGAGCTACTTCCTGGTGAGCGACTTCTTGACTTGGAGTATGCGGACGATATTGCCCTAATCTGTGACAGCTCCCAAACATGCCAAACAGCACTGGACCGATTAGCACTGGCTGTCAATCGTTTTGGGCTATGCTTTGCTCCATCGAAATGCAAAGTACTTCTCCAAGATTGGCAGGGACCCAACCCTGCGCTAACGCTTGGTGGTGATCAGCTAGAAGTCGTTCAGGAATTCAAGTACCTGGGCAGCTATATTAGCACCCGTGGGATTGAAGATGAGGTTACGAACCGTATAGCAAAAGCTCGAGGTGCTTTTGCCAATCTCCGCCACCTGTGACGCAGACGCGACATTACTCTCGCCCTGAAGGGCAGAGTTTATAACGCAGCCGTCCGTTCAACTCTCCTATATGGCTGTGAAACCTGGCCCATCAGGTCGACAGACATAAAGAGGCTAGTCACATTCGATTATCGCTGCCTTCGCAGCTTAGCTCATGTCTGGTGGGAGCACCGCGTGAGCAATGAGCGTGTTCGGCGTCGTGTATTTGGTGCAGGAAGAGCGAGTGAACCGCTCAGCACCATTATATCACGCACCGGGCTCCGATGGCTGGGCCACGTGTTGCGCATGCCAGCACACCGACTCCCGCGACGTGCATTGTTTGCGCGTTGTGGGTGCGGTTGGAAGAGGAGGAGGGGAGGCCAAGTGATGACTTGGTCGAGAGAAATGAAAACCCTCACTTCGAAATTGGCGTCGGTTGGTGCATCCCGATTGCCTGGTTGGGGTCCTAAGGATGGTGAACACGTTGGTTGGACACACTCGCTGATATGGCTTGGAGCCAACCCCAATGGCGATTGTGTTGTGAGTTCCTTTGTCCATCCCCCTCCTGCTTAGCATCCCCCTCCAACCATGATCTCACCTGATAGGTATAATATGACTCTCTTTTACGGCAGCCAGCTGTTAGCTCTCCGGAATGATGTCCATCCGTTACTGGGGACTCAGCGGGCGTGCCACCGTTTGTTTTCCTTTTCTTATCTTTTGTATTGCGACACAATAGCTGAGATGTTTTCCACCTCCAGCTAACGTGTAATGATGATGGTGATGATGATGCAGCTAGAGTAAAGGTGACCCGAGCTAAGCCAACGACATTTGTTGGAAGTTGATAGGGTGAAGGTTCCATGGTATTTGTAGCCACGGAACCAAACTGCAGTAGTAGAGCTTTCGTATTATCCACAACAATAGTCGTTAGGCTACTGGCCGTCTTGGGTTGTGGTATTCCTTGCTTACACTTACTTTTGTGACAATGTTACGGGCAGATTTTTTCCGGGGCCCATCGAAGCGCATGCAGATGTTCGCACAAATCAGCACGTGATCTGATTCAAGGTATGTTGACCGGAAGGACCTACAGTCTTGTATACTACTTCGCCAACGGAAATTGATTGCACGGTGGTCGATCTGGGACCAGAACGGTGTTGACGATAGAAAGCGCCGGCCTGCGGAACGTCTGCTGTTATGCTTGAAATTGGTGCTAGAAAGAAACAGGTAGTTGTCCTCGCCTAATGTGAGAAGCCGGTCCCCGTTATCTGTGCCCCTATCGTTAAGCACGTGCTGAGAAATAAGCTGGCGTTCATATGGAAGCAGGTGACTGTCCCGTGCATTAATGTCATTAGCAAGTATAACGACATCTCACTTGTTCACTTTACTCAGAAGAAAGTGAAGTTCATGGTAATAGTCCTCCTTGATCAGTCGTCAGCTGTATGCCGTAACGGCACTTCGCGGACGTGCGACCACCACAAGTCGCGCGTGGGCTGTTTATACGGCGAGGGCGCTCGCCCCTATGCGGATTCCAAATGGTGACTTTATGACTGCATGTCAGGCCTCCAGACCACTCTGCCAACTGTCCAGCAACCCAAATGAATTGCAGGATGAACTAAGACGGCATACTTGCACATTCGTATCTCCTTCTAGTGGAATGACATCTAAGCTGGTGAAACCTAGAGCTAGCGTTTGATCTCGTGTTGAAATATGTCTTTGGTATTATCTGAACTGCTGTTAACGGGATCACCGGAAGAAAGTACAAACAAACGGCATTTGGCAATTCTGCAGGTGGTCGCCTAAACTGATGTTGTTAAATGATCTACATACAAACAACTGATAACGGGACTGCCATTGACCGGGAAACATGCAGTTGGGGATATGAGAACAGTGTCCACCGTATCTACATATGTGGATGTCAAATCATTACCCGTGATAATCTAATCGCGTTTAAATCAGGAGCCGCATTTGATTGTCTGACTTCTGATTTGGTTGCCCAAAACACACGGTTATGGAGCTGCTTCTTGTGTGTATCAAAAACCGGAGATGGTGCGTCCCAAATAAAGGGACATAAACAGTACAACGTCATTATGTATTGAGCATTTATATCATGTGAACACAATGAGTCGTGCCCCAGGCCACTCATACGCATGCGGTAGTGGACGCAAGAACCATTGGCACATACCTAACAGTTCAAAGATTTGGTCCACTAAACTGCAGACCCTGTAGCCGCAACACTCTGTTATAGCTAGAGAACTACGTGATACAAACGAAGTGGGTATGTAAGTTTGTACCCTCACATCTCAAGCTCAATCATATCGCTCGAGTAAGAAGAACACAGACTCACTCATCCACTTGTAATGCAAATTGCGATGGCAAATGATATTTGGCATGTTAGCAGTATCTGAAGGCATGGCTACAACACTTTGGACGAGTTCTATCCCCACAAAAATTACGAGTTCTCAAGTAAACTGACTTAATAAAATTAAACGGATGACATAGCCAGTATGACTAAACTGTATCCCATTGGTTAAGATTCGTGTATAGTTCCCTCTACCAGATATGAAGTGAATAATTAAAATCTCTGGCCATGGGAGGGTTTAAATGATGCTCTCTCTCATCCCTGCAGTTCATGAGACGTTTCGTCCTTGTTTAGGATTGGAACGAGACACATAACTGTTGGTTGCTATAGTCAACCACGTTCGGCAGTTTACATGCTATGTAGCATGCGATTCGTATAAGCACAAAGAAAATAGTTATGTGGAGGCCCGGAGAGACTCGATCGTAGTACATTAAGGTAGATCCTCCGTAGCCTCTTGCGACCGTAAGAAGCTCAGGGAGTACTAACCTACGAGTACTGGTTAAGCCAACGCGATAACATCGCACTCGTTGGCGTGTAGATATACTGTAAGAAAGCAAGTGAAAATGAGCCATTAACAGCGGCTTGTTTAGACGGCCTTTTGATCGGGATCACCAGAAACCTAGCGGAAAGCTCTTTATAGAGAATTTATTCAGCCATATCGATAAGGTATTAGAACAAGGTACACACACGCGAGTATCCTCTTCAAAAACATATTTTTACTACATCAGACGAAGTGACTCGGTTAACTCCTACGCATACCACCCTGGCGTTTAGTGCAGCGTGTCCTATTCGATGATACAATATTGGACTGCAGGCCAATGCATGGGGGTCAGTTTTCCACTTGGAAGTCGCACATACAATCTCTGACATTACATTCAGACGCTGTTGGACCCCCAGATTTTCCTGGCTAGGGATCCAAGGATGAAAAGTGACACTTGAACATCTTCTAATAAGGCCAACCTAAGACATGCGTGCAGAGTTGTTCAAATGCATATATGTAAGGTTATAAATATCAAAAATAAAAGTATCCAGTACTTAAAAAGGAATACGGATAGCCCACCTAAATAGTGTATAGGACGGAACTGAAGCAACTGGTGAAAGCTGAAGGGTACAATTCCACAGTTGCTCATTCGAGAAACACTATTTTGCAATGACCCTCAGTCTACCAGTTAATTAGTCGCAACTGCTTTTAATGTATCTACTGGTTAGCATGGAATTTCGATCCATTCAGTAAGCCTGACTAGACAAGCAATCGACTAGTAGGACAAACAACTAATCTATCAAGTACTTGCTGTCCACTTCACTCAGTCGTTCAGTTCACCTTGCTACAGACACTAGGTTGCAGTATCTAAACCTCAATCAGACGGTCTGGTCGGCTCATTATGTGTAGACTCGTTGTTTAACTGCACAAATCACTCAGTACATAATGCCGGAGGAGTTCATTATGACTCCGCATGTATGGGTGGGAGTTTCTCATGTTTCGATGACCGATCAGCTAAAAACATGGCCTCGTTTTTTAAATTGCACCCATTTCTTTCAGTCTGTCCCTTAATGAAAATAAGTTGCTGAAATTGTATTCTGGATGTGCCGATTGCAGTTAACCTAGAAGCCTAATCACTTTGTTGGGTACTATCCGACTATGCGCAAACGGCGACCAACAACTACTCACCGCAAGAGACGATAAAATCCCAGTGGGTGCACATCTTGCACTCGAATGGTATCGGCCTCAATCACCACATCCTTGTAGAAATCCAGCGTTTTCGGCTGCTGGGAATTCGGGCTGCCTTGACGAGTAGGACTTTTTTTTCCACCTTTCGCAGGACTACCTTGCTTCGGGCTGGAGCCCTTGGCACCACCACTTTTAGACTTGGGGTTCTTTTTAGGGCTACCTTTAGATTCCATGTCCTTTGGGCTCTTCTTCCCCGACCCTTTCTTGTCAGGGCTCTTGGATCCAGGGCTTGCCTTCCTCGGACTGCCCTTTGGTTCCTTCTTATCTGGGCTCTTTTTGCTCTTGGGAGTTGCCGCATTTTGTATGGCCAATTCTATTTCACGCTCTTCCTCTCTTATTCTGCGAGCCTCATCTTCACGTTCTTTGATCTTATTCAATTTCCATTCTTCACACTCGGTGAAAAGTTTCTCAAAGATTGGACTCTCCGCAGCCAGCATACACTTATGGCCACTGATGGTAGACTGCGCATGCTCCGGACCAACGATAAAATCGACGTCGGTTTTTAGTTTTGTTTCCAAAAGAAAACGCATCCGCTTGTGCATAATGCCCTGGGGAACAGGGACCACCAGCTCCTCTTCCTCAATGGGAAATTCCGGATCATGGCCCTTTTTCTCTGTATCTCCCTTGGGACTCTTTTTTGATTTTGGTGGACTCTTTTTTCCCGGACTCCCTTTCTTGGACTCATTGGACTTTGGACTCGGCATCTATGTTGGTGGTATTAATACGAGCGATAGTGCATATTGTTTGCTCTCACAATAGTATTTTGAATTAGGCAGTTACTTTATTGATCGATGCGGAGACAATCGATGCATACCCATCTGTGCACGAGCACAATGGTTGACAGAGTACATGCGTTTAAGCACTTTGTTTCCCCCCCCCCCTGAGGGTGTTCTATGTATCTACGTAACAAACGGAAGCGCATAAGTAAACTGGAGTTCCAAATGCAACACGGTCCAATAACGAACTCAACACAGGATGACGAACGAACCACGTCACTTATCGTTCGGGCGAGAACGGTGATCAAAAACTGCACAGTATTGTGTGGACAGCGGTGGAGTTGACCCAGCTGTCATGCGGCCGACCAATCAGCAGCTCCCCGATCGTGCCAACATTGCACTGGCAGAATTGACTTGGCCTATCACGAATGAATCTTAAACTGGATGTAGACAAGGTGGAGCAATGGATCCGGCAAACAACAAGTGTGCCCACGAGAGTTTGCAACTGAAGTGGATGTGGCAGTTACTGAATAACCAAGCGTTTGGCTACGCCACGCCTACGCCTGGTAACCTAATTGGGCGGGCTGGTTGGATAATGCGGAATTAAGAAGCAGATGTGAACGGTGCTCCCGCAGGGAGTGGGTCGGAGCATAGAGAAGTAACAGGGCGTGGTGACCAATGAGGAATGCCCGTTTCAAATCTGCTAACGTGTGTGCAGTGTCAGTGATCCCAAGTAACCATAGATAACATTTCTTAATCAGTACCGAAACTGCTCTGATTCTCGAAGGGCTACACGACAACCGCCACCGACGAGTCAGCTGCTTTCCGCTTTTTGCGGTTAGACGATTTCCCACGGCGCATCAGCGGATTACTTCCGCCTAACACTGTTCAGCACCGTTAGCTGACCATTTCCAGATAGTTGTGCTTGATAAGCCAAGAAGCAAAACCGAATAGCTACTTAGTCTTCTTTCTATTGTTTATCAAAGCTTCACAGTGAACTAAACATACTCCCAGTGAATAAGTTTTGTGGAAATGATGATGGATTATATCAAAATACCAGAAACCATCAGGCGTCAAAGTCCCAAGTTCCTGGTTGAACTTAGCTATAAACTGGATTTCATTTTTTTACTGGCCACTACTTTTGACGACCAAGCCTGACTCGTGGCGTTGCGAAATGCTTCAAACCCTGTTGTGAATTGTAGAGTTTTCGTGCAGGTAACACCTATTGCCCATCTGCACCGTTAATTAAGGCCCCACGGATCGAACTAACTACAGTTCTCTTTAATGCGAATAGCGGTCCACATTGAGCTCGTACTACACAACGCATTCGTACAACGAGAGATTCAGAATGACTCCTCCAATTTATTAGACCCTGTTATCGAACCGGACGCTTTCATTATTAAGCGAAAGAGTAGCCACCGAGTGGATTCAACCTGGGCATAACCTTCCGAATGGAGTACAAGGCACCGGCTGACCAGTACCCTTCACGATCACAAGCCTGCCTTTTAATCCGAAGGCTGCGTAGGGACTAGGCGATTTTCGACGTATAATAACCCCGCGTGCTACTTATGGTGTTTAGCGGCAGCGGGGTGTGGACACTATGTACTGGAGTATTGCAACTGCCAGCATGCCTTTACAAGGCAAGAACGGTCTGACTAGCTTGTCCTTTCAAGGTGATCCCGCCTATTGGTAGCAGCGATCCGATGGACATGAGCTGAGCACTAGACTCTACAAAAACGTAGTCTGTCCGATACAGTTCCGAAAACCAGCAAGCTTGGATATACTATGTCCGCGATCGCGTTATGAATACTTGTGAATTCATAAAAATGGAAGTCTCCTTCCGTGCCAACGCAATTGCGCCTCGTTGATGCACATGATGACCGAGCGTGATGGCTGAACAACCTCCACGTGGTGCCAGCTGGATGGTTCGGGTTAATCCCAGTCCAGCTAATAGTTCGCCGGCAGTGTTCCAGGATTTGGTGGGTTTTCGCTGACCAAGCGTTATCCCTATAAACAGGCAAAAATGTCTGCTTAGCAACACTGTGACGTGGCGGATTTGACTCGCAACTAAATAAAGTCGATATCTTGCCATACCGGAGGATCATACACGTTCCGCGGACCACAAGAACTACAAAGGTTTCAACTGGTCTATTCCTATATTGGCACATTCACCGAACAAACTAAAAAATTCACACAGAACGATAACTTACACATGGAGCCATATACATACTACACATACTTGCAAAAACATATCCATTAGCTCCTGTTTAACTAGTAACATAACTGTACCACTACTGATGTTACGCGTTTGTATCATCAAGGTGGTGTCTTCGAA